CCCTCCCAAGTGGACTGCACAATCCAGAAAGGCCAGACAGTTATCTCTGGCATCCTCACGGGTGAACTTGATGTTGTCATCCACAGAGTTGATATGCTTGGTGAAAGCCTCTACGTCCTGGGTCCTGATTTTAACCCATGTGTCATCCACGTAGCGTAACCAGTGGCTGGGAGCGGTACCAGTGAAGGAAGACAGGGCTTTCTCCTCAATTTCTTCCATGTACAGGTTGGCAACTATAGGAGACACAGGGGAGCCCATAGCACAACCATATTGCTGCCTATAGAAGTGCCCCCTAAACTGGAAGTAGGTAGTGTTTAAACAGAGTTCCATACATGGTCTGGGGTGAGGTTAGTCCTGTTGTTCAGCGTGTCATCCTTCAGCAGTCTCCTCTTCACTGCCCTGACAGCCTCTGTGGTGGGGATGCAAGTGATTGAGTCTCGTCCTGGTCCAGCTGCAGTTGTTGGACTTTCCTTGCGAAGTCCTGGGAGTTTATTATGTGGTGCTGTGTGTTTCCCACCAAAGGAGCCAGGATGGTGGCCACGTGCTTGGCTATGTTGTAAGTCACAGAGTTGATGCTGCTGACAATGGGTCTGAGTGGGGCTCCTTCCTTGTGTATTTTGGGTAGGCCATAAGTGAAAGGGATGGCCTCCCCGGGGTATAGTCTGTAGTATGGTCACTGGTCAATAACTCCTTCCTTTTCCAGCTTCTGTAAACAGTCTATAACCTTCTTCTTGTAGCCACTGGTGGGGTCCTTCTTCTGAGGTCTCGTTTCCATTCTCCTGCTGTGAGACTGTGAGCTGACTGATGGAGACGGACGTGTCTGCATTCTGGTACCATTCACGCTGCCTGGGGGAGCCTGTCAATCATGTTACTGTGGCTCGTTGTATCTCTGCACATTCTGAGCTCAGTTTTGGTTCTGGAGTCCAAACCTGATCGTCTTGTTTGTAACTGTTTTGTGCCTCTTTCTGGTTGTTTTGCTTCTTGTAACAAAGTTCTGTGACTTTCAAACCAGAAGCATTAACAGTTGGTTCTCTCAGAGGCCCCTCGGGCCCCTGGGCCCCTGCTGTAGCCTCTTCAGGTCTGTTCAATCTGGACACAAACAGAAATACCAGAAGTACGGTCTATGGTTTGGGGGCAGTTATGGGCTAGAACTGCTTGTTGTTGAGTGTCAGTTCGAGAAGAAGATCTGATCCAGGACTCTGGAACTGGATCATCTAAATGCGGAATACAGACATTAATAACATTATTAGTTAAAAATATGTATGACCTAATCAACTGAGATGCATGTTCCCCCCCCCCCAGGCCTCCCACCATGCCCTGCAGCAGAACATGTAGAGGCAGATAACAACAGATATGATGAAGAGCTAAAGCTTAAAAATAGAACTGGATGCTTGTGCAGCTGCGGTTTCTACTGTTGTTTCTACTGTTTCCTCTGAAAACAGACACTTTCTTGGAAAGTGGAGTGCTTCATGTTGGGGGGGGGGTTTCCTTCGTTTCATGTTACTCCCTCCACCTCTTCTGTTTCCTGGCTGCCTTTGAAGGTGTGAGGACTGGACACCATGTCCTCTCAGTGCAGACATGTTGTCATGGTGACGGTCCTGGTCCTCACAAAGATAGCCATGCAAACAAACACACAGACACTGTCTCCCTGTTAACAGATGTCCTGGGTGGGGGGGTCCCTGCGTTGCTCTGGAGGGAAGGGAGGTCAGAGGTCAACCGTGGCTCAGTTCAGTAACTGTGGGGTGTGTTTGATTTGGTACTCTATAGCTGTAACCTTCCTCATCCAACTCTCACTTCATCTGGAATATGGGTGTGTTTGTTTTATTCAAAAGTAGACACTGAGGACCTGGGGTGCATTTGTTTTGATCATCCTGTGTGTTCCAAAGCATCAGAAGCTCCATAACAGGGGTACGCTTGTTTGTTCATCAGGTAGTCACCAACTTGTCTCCATATCAGGTGTGCTTGTTTTACTGCCGCTGCATCATCTTACTTCACAGGTCAGCAGTGAAACAGTTTCTCTTTCAATTAAATAAGACTCTGGATTTACAGGAGAAAAGTAAAAACCAGAGTAAATTCAGAATAGAAGCGGCTGTGGATGTTGCCTCACACTCACTGCTGCACCCTGTGCCTGGTCTGTTGGCCGACTGCAGGGGTTTGATTTTTAACCTCAATAATAATCTAAATGAATTTATACATGTATGACAATTTCACCAGAAACTTCATAAACACAGATGTTAAGGTGGAAGTGTTGCGCTGAAGTGCACACAGTTGTACAGGTGTACCCAATAAAGTGGTCGGTCCGTGTATTTTCACACTTATAGTCGGCACTGTTCTCTCCACCTCTTTCTCTCCTTTAATTTGTTGTCAAGGAAACGCTGGAGCGGGGATGCACTACAGCTCTCTCTCTTTGCCGCCGCCCGCCCCTCTCACACCGGGCAGCGCTCTGAACCAAGCCGAGCGAATCTGACCTACGTACCCTTCCTGAAGCGGCAGCCTGTCGGCCAGCTGTAGGTCTGGACCGTCGGTGTGTTTGAGGTCCGAACTGTTCCGTTCTGGTCCGGTCCGTGTGCCTGTGTGTGAGTGCGCGTGCGTGGAGCTGACCCGGTTTCTTCTCCGTGCTGTGGACCGGGAGAGCCGCTCTCTCCCCGCACCAACATTTTCTTTAATGACCGGATTTGTGTTTTGCTGCGCGATGTACATGGACAGAAGCAGCCTGACCAGGGGTGAGTCTTCACATCCTGTCACATCTGCACCGCTCACACATAGGCTACCTGCTGATAGCCGCTGCACGCGCGCGCCCGGCAGCTGCAGCCGCATCACACCATCTTGTTTCTTGTTCGCTTTATGTAGAAT